GGCACCGCGGCCAGACCGAGCGTCTCCCCCGCCCCAGCTTCGTGGCCATCACCTCCGCCTCCGCCAGTGCTTCCTCGCCCACTCCTGCACTTGCCACAGCTGCGGGCGCCCGGCCGGAAGGTGTTCTCAGCCGGCGCCGGCGCTCCACTTCCGCTTACGTGTCCGCGGCGAGTGCGCAGGCGCGCCCCCCCCCCACCGCGCGCGCGCGCACGGGTGCCTCCTGCGCGTGCTCCGCGAGGCGCGCGCTCCCGTGGACAGCGGGGCGCTGTACTAGAGGCGCTGAAGTCGACGTATCTTAACGGAAGGTGCTCCTGGTGTTCATATGGTCTATACCTGCCGGATGGTTCCACGTCACTGACCCTGTGCTCATATCAGCCACGTGGAGAATGTTGGGCCCGGATTATAATCCCCAGGTGTCCCAATTTGGACCAAGTGAGATGAGGCGAAGCCATGGCGCGTTTTTCTGCTTCCTCTTTCTTTCAGAGCCCAGCCTGCTTTTCCGGGTGGACCCAAGTAACACTTTGATTGCTTTTTCCTTTTTTGGGCGGAACCTGGGATTGAACTCAGCCCCTTGCGCTTGCTAGGGAAGCGCTTAGTCTACTGAGCCATCTCCCGGGCCCCATTGTATTGCTTTTGAAGTTGGAATTCAATGTGTAGTTATAGGGACAGTGGTCCTTGGAACATCTCAGAAATGTTACAAATGTTTTGGTGGTGCCCTTTTGTTGGGAGCCTAAATCCCGAAACTTGAGGGCTGGGCATTAGTTTAACCTAAATTTCTCCCCAGCTTGGAGGGCAGCATCTGTAATCACAGAGATACAATGGCATACAATCCAAGATAGAGTAGGTAGTGGTTTTTGGACAATGCTTAGTGATACTGTTGTAGGTAGCTGACTTAGATAGAAATATTACAGACAGTCAGACAGGGTCAGGCCCTCAAGGAGTCAATATGGAAGACAAGGTGACTTTGCAACTTGGAAAAACAGACACTCCCATGTGAGCCAGACCTCAAGATAAGAGAGGAAACAAATACAGCTGTATCCTTCCCTGGGGATGGGCATCAGGGATTGGTATTCTAAATAGGTATCAATCACCTTCAAAGAGCCCAGATGAGTCACTAACCCAACTCCCAACAGCAAGAGACTCTGTCCCGTATGTGTGCCTGCTTGCTAGTGACTTGCTTGCTCATTTGGTACTGGATTTAATTTTACCTGAGCAACGGTGCTTGTAATTTCATTGATGGACCATACTTTTGTCCCACCTCATGCCCACCTAAGCAAGTTCCCATGTTCTCCACCACCTTAGACCCACCTCACTGCATGGTTTTACTATGAAAGTCCCTGAAAGAGACAGCTCCCTGGGGACCACCTGTTGGGGCAGGGAACTCCTATCCCTCTCTATGACAGCTTTCTTTCCTCCGATAAATATATTCTGCTTGTAACCTCTGTTTGTTCCTAAAATTCATTCTTTGGTTTTAGAGAACCCGAGCTTGTCCCAGATGCCTTTCAGGTTGGGAGTTTCATTTTTCTCCCTATCCACTGAGATCGTTTTTCTCCTATATCATTTTGGAGGTCCCTATATCAATATCGAAGCAAGCGATTACTATAATGAAGATGGATGAAGATGGAACGTATTTGGTAGCCTGCTTTGAATACCAGGAAAGGGATGAATTGGATTAATACAAATGATAAAATTTACCCAGTTATGTGCAACTTTCAAATTTCACAGGCATTCCATAGAGTAGTATTTGTGCTGTAGAGTCTGAAGTTTCATACTTAGGTAAGGTAGATGGATCCTATGTTAGTGGTATGGTAAAGTATATGCTTAGATATTTGCATTTAATATATACTAGTGTTACAAGACCAGGGCTGCCAACATTTTGTGAATGTTAAAACTAAAAATTACAGAGAACTTAAATTGCCTGAAGAGAGAGTGGCAGTTTTTCAAGGATACCATACTGTCATTGAATAATAGGGATTTTATACTCCTTTCAGCTGTTTATTACTTATCAAGCACTTGTTAAGTACTCATATATACAGGCCATATTCATATTCCATAAATCATAATTGTGAAGTCCCTGCCCTGAAGGAGTTACAGGATACATCTGATAACATAAATGGTAGTGTAAAGCAAGATATGTTATAAAGTAGCATCCACTCATGCTTTGTGATCACAGTAGCCTTCAAACAGGGCTTTCTACTTTTCCTCCATTTCTTTAAAATATAGCTCCACTCAACACTTGGAGTGAACTGTTTAGAATTTGTGACAGATGTGTTTTTCCTCTACTCAGAACTCTAATGATTTACCATTTTCCTCAAAAGTCCAAACACCATGGCTTATTACCTTTTTTGGAGGCTCACACCCACGAGCTGGATCTCAGAGCCTATCTAACCCCTCCAAGCACAGCAAATGTAAATGTTTATCTACTGTCCCCTGTGCATAGAACGCTTTCCTGCTGCAGGTAGCCATGGAGCTTTCTTCCTAAAGTTCTTCTAGTCACTGCTTATATATTGTCTATCCTATCAACAAAGAAATTGAATGTATCAAGAAAGTGACATAAAATGTATGAGATAGTGTCTTTATTTTCGAGGAGAAATTTAGTAATAGAGACTTGCATTCATTACTACCTATTTACTCTTGTAATAACGTTATGGTAAACAAAATTAAGGACTTTGCGAACATAATTTGGTTTTAAATTTTTAAGAAACTAACAATCCTGTTGCATATGAGCCTTTTGGTTTTCCAGCTCACTTTTTCAGAGGATCACTTCTGTTTTTTTGCGTAGGCAGGAGAGGACAGTTGCACATGAGCTTCTGTGCATTTCATCCTAACATCTATTGTCTTGTCATTACCAGACTTCTGCTTTCTGTCCAAAGGATCTGCTGGCTTTATTGATGCTCTCAGTAGCTTCCTCAGCTCATGCTGTGCACAGCTGGAGTGTGTATAGGTTAACACATCTGGGTGCAGCGGTAGTTATTGGTGAAACACTCCTGTTTGTAGCCTTTAGTAAGACATTTGTGTGGGTTATTGTACATGTGCATCTCAAGAAGTCCTAGTTAAACAATTCTGGTTGTGCACAGCAGTAATGTCGGTAACACACTCTTACCATCTGCAGTCTTCTCTTTGTTCCATTTGCTTACTATAATTACTTCCCAAATAAGCTGTCTTTACCCAAATAATTAAAATTATGCTCTGGGGGTGTCTAAGTTACTCTTGTTGCTGGGACAAAATACCCAACATGCATAATTAATGAAGGAAAGGTTTCTTTAGCTCAGTTAGGGGTCTCAGTCCACACTCAGCTGGCTCCAAGGCAGAGCAGCACACGTCACAGAGCAAGTGTTCATAGTGGTGGCCAAAAGCAAAGAGCGAAAGGAGAGGCAGCAGCTCCAGCAGCTAGCTGGCCTCTTTTCTCT